TTCCCAAACTAAACTAGTCCCACTTGCCTGCGTTTAGCCCATATCCTTCCAAATCTTTCCTATTCATGGACTTACCCAAATGCCTTTTAAATGTTGTAACTGTACCTGCATCCATCACTTCCTCTGGCAGTTCATTCCACACACTAACCACACTCTCTGTAAAAAAGTTGCCCCAATGTTCTTTCTAAATCTTTCTCCTCTCACCTTAAAACTGTGCCCCCTAGAGTTGAACTCCCTCACCTTAGGAAAAGACCCTTGCTATTCACCTTATCTGTGTCTTTCATGATTTTATAAACTCTGTAAGGTCACCCCTCAACCTCCTGCACTCCAGTGAAAAATGTCCCAGCCTATCCAGCCTATTTTTATAATTCAAACCCTCCATTCCCAGCAATATTCTGATAAATCTTTTCTGTATCCTCTCCAATTTAATAACATCCTTCCTATAACAGAGTGACCAGAACTGTACACAGTGCTCCAGAATAGGCCTCACTAAAGCCCCGTAGAACCTGAATATGACGTCCCAACTCCTATACTCAAAGGTCTCAGCAATGAAGGCAAGCATGTTAAATGCTTTCTGAACCAACCTGTCTACCTGTGAATGCAAATTTCAAAAAACTATGTACCTGAACCCCAAGATCTCTCTGTTCTACATACTACCCAGGGCCCTACAATTAATTGTATAAGCTTTTCCCTTGTTTGTTTTTCCAAAATGCAATACCTCACATTTATCCAATTAAACTCCATCTGCCAGTCTTCAGCCCATTGGCCCAATTGATCAAGACCTCTTTGTAATCTTGGATAACATTCTTCACTGTCCACTATATCACCAATTTTGGTGTCGTCCATAAATTTATTAACCATGCCTCCTATATTCTCATCCAAAACATTTATATAAATAGACTTTATGGCTTTCTATGCTCTGATGTATTTTACATAGTTATGAAACATCATTTAACCCCAAAATATACCAATAACTCCTGTTTTTTATTGATTACCTTGTTTTATCTTCTGTGACTGTACTCATTGCTGGCTGTCGCTCAATTCAAGAGTGATGACTTCTCAGGGTAAGGAATTTCAGCCCTGGGTCATCACAGGAGTGCAGAGGTTAAATCTTGACTCACACACCTTTGTGCACATGGGTACTCAAATGGGATGTACCATGAGATAGTGGGACTCAGAGTTCAAGATTTGTTTCCATTTCTTTCCTGTTTTGGGCCAGGGAACTTCGTTGCCACCAATTCTCCTTTCTACTCTTTTTAAATAAACATTAAACATGTTATATAGTGCAAGTCTTCCTTTTGATTCTGGGGCTAAGTACCTGTCTAGTTATCGGTGGTACAGGATAGACCACCGTAGAGTCTTAACATGAAGAGATACATGTCATTTCAATGTCTAGTTTATTGCATGATACCAACAGGCATATTCAACATTAATTAGTTTGGCATAATTAGAACTATCAGGACCCTGGTGTATCATGTCTGTTTTGGTCCCAACCTCATGCAACACAACTATTTCTCCACCCAACGACTGTGCAACTTCAGCAGATTGAGTGGCTCTCACTACAGCTCAACATTACCTATTTCAGAACCACTTCCTTTCGAATACCTTCCCTAAGCTTTTTTCCCACAGAATCACAGAAAGGCTATTGTGCAGAAAGAGACCATTCATCCTAACGTGTCTCCACCGGAGTCTTCACTAAGAATTACACATTCATAATCTATGTTTATATATCCAATTCACACCTGTTCTCTTATTCCCCTAGGTCTCAGGCATTCCTTCAGATCATACTGGATGATAACTGATTCACATTTCTCTTTCTCAATAAATACACATATTTTATATAAAAGAGACAGAATATTATAAACCAGTATTTTCTTCTTTCTATATTAAAAGTTTCAAGCATCTCTTTTCAGTACGCCTAGCAGTTTCTTTGAGCTTGCTCCTTTCTTTGTGAAACAATCAGATTTCTGATGGCTACTAACAACCCATTTCACTTTAGAGATTTTCTGTTCTCCAGCCTCTGCTTTAAAACTGCAATATTGATCCTGTCTTTTCTCATTCACACATTTTGTTGATCATTATCCCATAGTGATTTATTATTGACTGAACATTCAATGGGTATTGCTGCTGAATCCCTTTTTTAGAATTGCTCCCAATATTTTCACAAAGAATAACACATCTACCTCTTTGTTAAGACAGAATTTCTATCATGAATGTATTTTTTCCACGAATTTTCTGACCTCTTCAGCTTTGCAGACTAAAGGACAACATTGACCTCCCTCTCTCACAAGAAAAACCGTAAACCCTCCAGCACTGAAGGAGCCACCACAGAAAGTTGTACACGAAGCTTCACGAGAAACAAGAGGTTTCATGTTCCTGGCATTCTCCAGAAATGGAACTTTCAAAACACAACACTCCCCTTTTAGTTTTTTCAATGTTTTGTTCACCTAAATGATACCTTCCAGATTGGGGTTTTACATTGTACTCAACTTTAACACACTAAAGCTGTCTTCTGAACTTGTTTGTGCGCCCAGTCAATTTAGCTGTCCAGTTAGACTTTGCAATTCCCCAATTTCAGTTTAGATTTTTCTTGTGCCCACACTAAAGGTGTGAGCTGTCAATATTGTTTAGATGCTTGCTAATAGCATTTTGTACCCTATCTAACAGCATGAGGGGAACACGTGACAATAACTGAGATATTTTGTCTGCAAATTATTATAAATTATGTTCAGGTTACCATCATGAATTCTCTGTGACAGAGTATTTTGATACACTAGAGTCAATAATGTATGTTACACATCACTTATTTATTTATGAAGCACATACTGAACGATTGAAAATTAGTTATTTGCAGTAACTAATGCGTGCATATTAAAATAAGTTGAAACCTGACCTGGCAAAGGTTTCATGATGCAAAATGCTAATTGTGTCAAGAGATTGTACATGTGTATGCTAAATTCAAATTAGCTTAATTTGTAGATGAAGTAGCTGGCTGCCATCCTTTTGGCAGTCTGAACATGAAATGCAGGTATGTTTGTTTCTTCCATGCGCCACAGTACACTGATTGGCATCTCTTATTATTATATTCTGTCTACTGTCATTTTTTTTTCTGAAGTCCCAGTTCTTCTAGTAATAGATCCTCATTCATTTTTGATCTGGGATGTCAACATTATATTGTCATTTCTGACTTACTGTCACTTGTTATAGACTGAAGCTTCAGGCTCACAGACATATCTCATCATTTTCTGTCTTTTCAAATGAAAGGACACTCAAATGGGAGCTTTCCTTTCCCTAATCCATTAAATCTAGTTATTTCTTTGAGTTTATTGATGGGTTTGAGATTCGCAGTGATGGTGATGGATAGCAGTCCTAAATGAAATACACTAGCAAATGGATTATTTAATTAAAATCATGCAATTATCATTAAATACTTATGTAACACCCCTGTTTAAAAAGACAGGGAGGCAGAATCCAGGAACCTAGGGGCCGGTTAGCCTGAACTCAGTCATTGGTAAGATTTTAAACTACATTATCAAGGATGAGATTGCAAAGTACTTGGAAGTGCCTGGCAAAATAGGGCTGGCTTTGTTTATGGGAAATCATGCCTGACAAATCTGTCAGAATTCTTTGAGGAGATAAGTTAGACAAAGGAGAGCCAGTGGATGTGATCTACTTGGATTTGCAGAAGGCCTTTGGCAGGGTGTTGTTCAGGAGGTTGCTAAATAAGATAAAGGTCCATGGTCTTAGGGGCAAGGTACTGGCATGGATAGAGGATTGGCTGACTGGCAAAAAGCAGAGAGTGGGGATGAAGAGATCTTTTTCAGATGGCAGCTTGTGACTAGTGGTGTTCTGCAGGGTTCAATGTTGGGACCACAAGTATTCATGTTATACATTAATGATCTGGACAAAGGAACTGAGGGTATTATTGCAGATGACACAAAGATAAGTGGAGGGGTAGGTAGTGTTGAGGAACTGGGGAGGCTGCAGAAGGACTTGAATAGGCTAGGAGGGTAGGATACTACTGATAAACTGTACTGCAACAAATATAGTCTTCAACTAACCGCCCTTCGCAAACAATTCAGCAAATGATCTGTACAATCTTTTTTAAATAAGGATCATTTGGATTCACCTGTTATTTTTAATGTGTGTGTTGCATTACTCATTCTTATTGCATGTAGTAATAAATTGTCCTCTTTCTGGGAGAAAGAGAAGAGATGCTTTTCAAATTTATCTCATTGTAGCCAACTGAGAGGCTGGTGAATGATAGGACAGAATAGAAATTTATTGTCACTTGTACTTTTACATGAAAAATACAGTGAAAAGTTTTATAAGTTGCCTCCCCAAGGCACCTATATCAATGACAGAAATCATACATCATAATTTCAAAAAAGTGAAATTAAGACAAAGTTCATCACAGTTCAGTTAATATCTCCTGGCTCAGGGAAAGCCGATTTAGGAATAAAGATGGGGAGCCAGTCTATCTTTCTTACCTGGGAACTTAACAGTTTGGGGTATCCTGTCATGAAGTGCAAGAAATTGGGTAACCACGCCCAGGGTTTGGAGGTAACATGACATAATTTTACTTCTATGAAAAGCAAACCAAATCATGCATAATTATTTAAATAGACTTCTATGCATTTAATATACAAATCTGATGATATTTAATCAGTGAAAATCTGTGCATCCTTTCCTCCAGATTTCCTATAAGTAAAGCAGAATAGTTCATGCCTCTCTCAGTAAGGAAAATACAATGCCATCCCTTAAAACTGCAAACATTCTCGTAATATAGTTTATCTTGAATATGACTCTAAGATGAACCAGCCCAGATTACCTGAAGCTGTGTAGCAATGGGCCTCGTTGCAATTGGCACCCAGGTTGCAGTGTGCTCTATTTCTCAGCCAGCAACTACCAGACTGCAAATAAAGGCATGTTACCAGTTTGCGCAACCCTCGTTTGTGTTAAGTGTTCATTTAATTTATATTCTTTACTGATAATCTCACCTGAAGCAGAGGGGCCAGCCGTAACATGTGACTTGCCCATTTTAAAGGGTTTGAGCAGGGATACTGAGTCTCGTCTCCTAAAGAAGGTCTCTCTATAAACAAAATAAAAATTAAGAATGAAAAGTTTCACAAATCCCATTCATTGGTGCTATACCCTGTCTTCATTATTTCCTGCAAACACTTTTTTTAGTCGTAATTATCCTTTTTTTTGGTATTTTTAGTCATTGAAAGCAATTTTAATGAATGAGGCTTTCTTGCTGGGTTCTGAGAATGCCAGGGCCCCTGTAAACAAGATGGGAGATGTCTGTCTGAGCTGTTTATTAACCCATAAACTGTGGAAGCACCCAGAGATACAGTCCCGTCACCCACTTGACATTGAATATGTCACAGGAGACCCACCTTTCCTGTTTCTGCTATGCAGGACAGCATGTCATACAGGGAATGTGACTGACAGAGAACCTCTGGAAGAAGAATTAAAGAATTTTACAGCATGAGTTGAATCCTCTCAGAATCCTCTCAGACATTGGCCATATTAGAGGAGTAAATTGAAGGAAAGGGTAAGTTGGGCAAATATATCAGGGAAAGGGATAAATGTTGAAGAAAAGAAAAACAAAAATTTAGAGAGATGGAAATAATTAATGGGGATTGGACTCAACTGTTTTACAGAAGGGCAAGTACTGAACATCATTAGAAACTTAGCTACAAACTGGACAAGAATGAAAGATCAAATACATCAGAATGTATAGGGGACAAAATACAATCACTCTTAAAAGTGGACACGGTAAATAGTATGTTAATCTATTAATCATTAATTTATACCAGTTCCACCCATGCAGGAAATACGACAACTTTATATTCTTTGCTAACTTAAGAATTCAGATCAGGCAGAACAAAATATGCTGCTTAGTGGTTACATGCCTCAGTGCGAGACATGAACTTGTGTGAGATTAGTATATCTAAACCGAGTCAGCATTACTTAAAGCCAGCACCACCTTTTGAAGGGGAAGTACACTCTAGAAGTGGCTAGGAAAAAGAGTAAAACCTGACAAAATGCTGACTTAATGGTGTAAGACAGCATGCTCCAAGACTCTCTGAAGCAGCGATTAGGGCCTTAATGTTGTAAATTGGGGCCAGAAGATGAATTCTGAAAAGGAAATGTGGAGAACAGAGGTCCACAAGATGTTTAATAGCCTCACACAAGTGATCAAGATCAATGAATTATCTTCGAGGGTCGCAGCCTTAGAATTGAACCACGAGCCTCAGAGATTACTTGTTGGACTATATTCCTATCACTCATGACCATTAAACTCAGAAGCAGGAATTGGCTATTTGGCTGTTTGAGCCTACTCCGCCATTTGATAAGAATATGTGCAAGGTATAAGGAGAAAGCAGGAGAATGGCACTAAGTAACAATGCTCTGTTAACGAGCTGATCAGGCATGATGGGCTGAATGGCCTACATTGCATCGTAAGACTTCTGTGATTCTGTGATTGTGACCTCTATTTTCCTGTTTACCCCTGTACCCTTTGTGTGAGTCATGATTCTCTCCAATGTAGACTTAAAAATATTCAATGATCCAGGAGGAATCCATAGATTAACAACATCCGAGGGGGAAAAAAAAGCTTTCCTCATCTCCATCTTAAATGGTATATCCCCTTATTATTAAATTGTATTCCCTAATTTTCGTCTCTATCATAAGGGGAAATATCCTTCTAGCATCTGTCAACACCTGGTCAAGATCCCTCAGGATTTTATGCACGGTTACTAACAATCTCTATGAATCATGACTTGCTCCACCTCATCCCGTTGCATTTAGCACTGTTACAACCCTCACATACATATCTCTCAGCTTGCACGTACTGCTAGCTACTGACAGGCATTTTACACAAAAACTTTGCACCTCACTCACTGAAAACCCTCCTACTTGCAGGAAAAAGTGATGCAGGGCCTGAGGCAGCAGCACACCTAAACAGCCAAGCCTAGCTATATGTCCTGAACTTTATGGAGGAAATAGTGCTTGCTTTCATTGTAGTGATCATCGCAGAGATCATGACCAGTGGTGGGGCTGAAACTATCAAATGTGACAGTATGATCATAATGAATCCTCTTTCTCAATCTCACTTCCTCCTCAATGCATACCACTTCTGATATTCAGCATGTGGGCACCTCTTCTTTTATTCTCTTTCCCTTACCAGACATCTCAACCACTGCAGTTAACACTACATAGTATTTAAAGAATAGGTTTGGAAGACTGGGATGAAGGGAAAGTAGGGTGATTGATTGCTTAGATTGTTAGATTAATAAAAATTGATTTGGAATGTTTGGTTACGGTGGAATTTATTTTAGCATTGTGGCTAAATGGGCAATGTTACTGTCAATAACAGAGAGGAAGGAAGGTGTGAGGTAATTGGTGCATAGGGAATTGGGGTTGTGTTGACTGATACTGCAATCACTCACAGACAGCATAGTCAGAAAGCAGACCTCCCCTCATCCAGCCTCCTCCTCCTCTTCTTCCTCCTCCTCAACTGTGTGTCATACAAAGGGTAGCAAGGACTTTGCTTACATGATGGTGAGGTTGTGCAGTGTGTAGCAGACCATAATGAATTTTGACACGCACTTGGCCAAGTACTGCAGATTTCCATACGGCAGCCTAGGCATTGAAAGAATTATTTCAGTTGACCGATGATTTGCTCGATTTTAATGGAAGCATGCCTTTGTTATATACATGATGCTCTTGTTTGAGTTGGTTGCATACCGAGGTTATGAGGCAGTTATCAATCTGTGTCTCTTAGTAATCATTGTTTATTTATCATGATGGGTCAAACTGAGATCCTTGCAATGCCATAAGTTTGCTCCACCTGTTTCTTTCTAACAAGAGAAAATAAAACGTTCTTTTGGAGTGCAAAGTCCCAGTGACCTTCAGTGTGCATTAATGGATAGCAAACTGGAAAATGTGGCAAATATTGTCTGCATCCAAGCTGGAAGGAACCCAACACAAAAGTTCATGAACGCAACCACCTTGGGAGCTATTGGCAATATCATCTTTGCCTTCTTCTGCAGTTAAGGCTGTGGCAGCGGTGATGAATTCAGTGAAAACAATCTTAATAAAGCGAAGACATCTGACACATTGTTCTTTACTGATGTTATAGTGGAAGAAGAGACATCTCTATGATGTGCTTGACTTCTCTGCATGATCCTGATCCACAGCTCAGTGGTGGCAAGAGATTTTTTTCTTTCCTTTTCAGATACATCTTAAGCAAAATCATATGGCAGAGGGATACATACTCCCCGACTCTCCTCATTAAACACTACTTCTGTGGATTCCTGAACTTCGTTTCAGGATCCTGCAACAAAGGTTTGCTAAATTGAATTTTAAAAATTGCATCAGTGAACAGTCAGGCCTCACAAGCTCCCTCCCCTATGCCAGCCACAGGGTCATAGAATTATACAGCACAGAAACAGACCCTTCAGTCCAATTTAATCATGCCAACCAGGTTTCCCAAACCAAACTAGTCCCACTTGCCCGTGTTTGGCCCATATCCCTCTAAACCTTTACAGAAAACAACAAATGCTGAAGATCAGACAGCATCCATGGAGGGAGAGCAAGCTAGCATTTTGAGTCTAGATGACTCTTCATCAGGTTGAAGTGAAGTGTGGAGGGGGCAGCATTTATGCTATAGTTTGGGGAGGGATGTATGGGGGTAGTGATTGTAGGGTGCTGCTGGAGAAAAGATGTTGATAGTTCAGATTAAGTGACCGGAATGTGAGAATGGCAGAACGATGGTGTGTCTAACGGCCAGACCAGAAAGGACAGACAACCCCACTGTCCTTGACCTCTCTCTCCATTTCGAGGAGCAGACTGCCCACTGGCATCGACTACAAAGTCACTGACTCCCATAGCTACCTTCACTACAGTTCATCACACCTCACGTCCTGCAAGGACACCATCCCATTCTCCCAGTTCCTTCCTTTACATCACATCTGCTCGGATGATGTCATTTCCTACACAGCGCTGCTGACATGGCTTGCTTCTTCCATAACCATGATTTCTCTCTCACTGTGGTTGACAGGACCCTCAACCCAATCCGACCTATCACCCATGTTTCCGCCCTTGCCTGTCCCATCACTCACAACAGCATGATTATGTTCCCCTTGTTTTCACTTTCTACCCCACCAGCATCTGCATTCAAAGGATCATTCTCTGCCATTTCAGACAACTCCAGCAAAATACCTCCACCAAACACATCTTCCCCTCATTCCACCGGTCTGCATTTCGCAGGGATTGTTCTCTCCAGTTCATTCCACAACCATGAACTCCACCTCCCCCTCCCTACAGCACCTTCCTATGCAACAGCAGAAGGTGCAACACCTGCCCCTTCACCTCCTCTCTGCTCACCATCTAAGGACCTAAACAGTATTTCCAGGTGAAGCAGCATTTCACCTGTACCTTCTCCAATTTTGTCTATTGTATATGCTGCACCCAACTTCAGCTGTGCTAGTGACCAATAGTGCAGCTATTTGGAAGTCCAGTGTCAGGACATAAGGTAAAATTATTGACCAGCTATTCTGCTTTCTAACATGAGCCAAAGTTAGGCATATCTCTAATGGCTTAGATTCTTCCCTTTCATTTATGGGTAACCTAGAAGTAAATGTCCTATCAGGTAAAATGATTCTGTCTGAACAGGTAGTTGAAAGCCTACTTACACCCAATGCTTCATTTTTAGCTCATTATGTTTCAACAATACCCCTATGCATCTTTCACAATGTCTGACACCAATGCATATTTGGGGTTTTTGCCAAGACAATATCTTTCACGACCTAGGGCTGTCCCAAAGTACTTTATAACTGAGGAAGTACTTTGAAAGTGTATTCACTGATGCAATATAGGAAACACATCAGCCAAATTATGCCCAATAGTCTGTTTATGTGATGCTGGTTGGAAGATAAATAAGTGACCAGGACACTGGGGATAACACACTGTTGTTCTTAGAATGTACATGAGACGTTTTACATGTGCATAAGAGAATGACAAGGCTTCAGATTTATATCTCATCTGCAAGATGGGACTTTCAATGGTGCTAACTCTCTCTGC